CTTTGAATAAATCAGCACTGTTTTGAAGTTACTTGGACTGTCTCGTCTCTCAGAGTTAGCAATGGTAAGAAGAACTGGTTAGGGCAACACTAATATACATTATATCCATTTGAGCCACAGATTGAAAGCATATGGTGAGAACCAAATAGCATGCAAACCTTTTTTTTTTTTACCTTTATTTAGACAGGGTACTTTCTCTGAAAGGCCACTTTTGTTATGCAGGAATTTTGAATGCCCTAATCACACTCACACAAAAAGTTAGATGTTTGAAACCGATAACAAAAGGTAATGTACTGTATAAACAATTCCAAGTTAGCTGAACGTGCTGGTCAAATGTTTGAAATAGTCAATTAAACGCAATGGAAAATTAGCTTTCTTTGTATAAGATAAATGGTTTAAACAGTTAGCTAACAATAATAAATAAATAGTTAAAACAGCTTATGCCGTAAGTGCAGCAATAACAGACTTAATCAAACCAAGCTAAACTGTGATGGTTGCCAGTTAATATAATTAATACTGTTTAATAACATCCAGTTTCAATATACATATTTGGAACATGATGGGTGGTGTTAAAGAGCCCATGGCATGCTTTTCTGACTTATGTACAAGTGTGAATTATCATCTTAAACATGACCTAAAGCTCAAAAATGAAGTGGATGTACTGTATGTTCTAGTACCTCTATAAAGAAGCAACAAGTCTATACAAGTTTATACAAGTCTTGATAACTCTGGCTCACCAGACTTTTTTTTATTATGTGATGGTTTAAGGATTTCCTTGAATGCTCATGGTTTTATCATTATAAAATAATTACAAACTATTATGAGTTATGATGGGTGCAAAGCTAATCTAGAGGTACCCAATATTAAGCATTAAATGGCTGGAAATGAGCATGCCATGGGCTCTTTAATGAAGGGTTACTTGAGTTAATTTGACCAAATGCATCCCCAAAAAATTGTGAGCCATGGACCGTTGCTCGTATCCACAGTGACTGCACCAGCCTGCTGCTGAAGACTTCCTTACAACTCCCCACAACAGTCCTCTGTCTGTTCTCTGTTTGAATTGCCTGCAACACTCAGTGCTCTTTCAGGCATGGACCTCTGTCTTTTCATACAGTCATCACTCCATTCCTCTAAGGGCTGGAACAATCCTCAACTGTCTGTCTATATCATTTCACTACCATTTAAAAACACTGACTATCAATGTCCACACAGTACCACTGTGCCTCAAATTTGAGATTTACAGCAAATCAGTGTGCTCTTCTTCTTTTGGTAAAGTTTTAATGTGCTATGTGTTGCAGTTTTAAACAACAGTAAACCATTCTTAAATTCAAATTTCTACCTTGGTTAAATTGCTATATCGTCATGAGACCACAGTGATGCTCATTGGCAGCCTCTATGTCACACCAGTGGTAGTGCTTCTCAAAATCAAAGCCACATTTCCCATAAACTTCTTCCTGGCCCCCAGCTCCCTTCCTTTGGTTTCAATAAAGACGATAAACATATTGGAAATGGGTTTTCCAGCCTCTTTTCTCTCCTTTCCACCATCTGCAGTGGAGGTAGACTTTAGCCCTGTCTCTGCTGACTTAAAAAAGAATCACTCCTGCCCCTTTCGAGTGGGTGCTCCTACGCGTGAAAATGATATATAAAGTGTGTCTCATTATTGTTGTAATATGGAGGGAGTCTATGCATGGCTGTGCATTTCTGAATTTACACGTCTGTGCAGGAGCCCCCACTCGGCTCATGTTTCAACCCATACAGTGTGCATGCGGAAATCGCTGCAGACAGTGGCCAAGCAGAGCCGATCTTGCATCAGCAGCCATGTTGTGACTCAATTCTCACAAAATAGTTCATATAACAAAGAGTGTGACCTTCTAAGAGAAAGGAGTTGTGAATTTGGACACACACAAACCTATTTCATTCATTTTACGCCATTAGAACAGCTTCGCGTGCGCACGAATACAATAGGCATTGCATATCAAGGATGCAGTTGTGTTGTGTGATTGTTAATTTCCATTTCCCTGTGGTATCCCCTCTCTCTCTAACACACCCAAAGACAAACAAACAACCTGCTCACCCTGGGGTAAGTGAGTGTTCAGCCTATGAGAGGACTGTGGAGAGCACATCTAATCGTGCTCTCAAATTCTTCCTTGACCAGGGAATTCATGAATACTTGCACATTTCCTCCTGCACCATCACAAACACAAGAAAAACTATTTCTCTAACCCTCTAAACTCTTCTTTATCAGCATGAGAAGAAACCTAAATAGTGCCTCAGCATTAGGGACCCAGCAGAAAACAACACCTGGCCAAGATCCAGACAGGACACAAACCTTATTTCATGGCAAACCATTCAGTATTTCAGTCTGGAGCAAAGTGATGGATTAACTAACATCCTACTGAGCCAGGCTAATAGCATGGCTAAATAATGCTGATAATAATACATAGCATATATAGCATATAGCATACATAGCATATACGTACTTGAGTGGAAAAGAGTCTATGAAATATGTACAATGTGTTTTCCATATTAAACCTGATTAAATGTCAAAATGATAAGTGATCATGCATAAGCCTGTGAACTTCATGGAGCCTTTTGTAAATTTCCATCCAGCTGATGAACATTTTGCAGCATTTCAGCTGGCATAAAATTTGGCAGATAGCACAAAGGAAACACAACCAGAGCAGGCTTATAGATGGGAGTGTCAGTACAAGAGGAGAGCACAGGATCATCAGTACTTATTGGGCACAGACACACACACGCACACATTGTAATAAATGGCACATTAATATAGTGACTGGCAAGTAGACACAGAGCATCATTATTGGTGCCGTCTCTTGCCGCCATCCATTTAACAAATCTATTTGAGAACACCACACAATGACAAAGAGCAGCAATTGTACAACAATCTAACAAATGGACCCCAACAGAAATGACTCATCAGAAGAAGAAAGTACAATGATCCTGATGCACAGCCTGCATCTGTGTACCAACATCATCTATGCTATATTTTTGCCTCTCTATGTGTGTCAGTGGTAGAGGCATGTGTACTGAGCTGACAGAACCTGCTGAGTTCCTGTCTAGCCTGTGCAAGCTATACAAGCCTCTTCATGTAACCCCCATGTGGTAGGACACACACATATCACATACACTGTCTGGCAGCTGCGCCTACAGGTAAAGACTGCAACAAGAGGTGAAATTCTGCCTTGTGTATTATAGCCCCGGGTGTCTTCCTATATCCCTTCTCTTCTGTCAGTGGTACGGCAGTATTCAGAAGGCTTTCAGTGGGTGGTGAGGGTTTGTCTGACCTTTTCAGCTTTCTGGCCCATGCTCTATTAATACTCATGCCAAGCTTTAAGCCTACACATAGAATATCAAGTGTGTCAAGTGCCAGAAACCCAAGCCAGAAAATATAAAAAACATTCCATGGTAGTGATACCATGTTAAGGTTTTCATTGATATTATCAAAACTATTCCTTCTGGCGTTACAAAAAGCAGGCTTCCATTTTACAAACGATCCAGAATGTGCATGCAGTGGAGAAGTAGAAAACTCATGCCCCAGTATCATGACAGCTTGACACAACATCATAACACCTGTTGTAATTTGCTGGCTCTGGCTAGCTAAAGTAACACATGTGAAAACTGTGAAAACATACAGATATAGCAACTATAACACTAACTAAGACATCACACAAAGTTACTTCTACAGGTAATGACAAATTAACTACTAGTCCCCAGTGGTGGAAAGTAACTAAAAATATTTATGATACTTTTGAGGCAACTGTATTTTACTTAGATATTTTCATACTTTGATTGTATTTTGAAATTTATTTTTTATTTTGTAACTTTTGTTACTTTTCAGAATCATATTAATGAAACAAAATACGGTATAATCATAAGATGTTATTGATCCCTGGTGGAAATATCATAATCTACACTGCAGTAAATATAAGCATAAAAGGTGGTTAACATTAGCTCCAACTTTACCAGCTGCAACATTAAATGTGATGAATACAAAAATGCATTAGTAATTATAATCCAATTAAATAGTATAGATTACTGTGAAAGGTAAAAGGTGCAATTCTGCAAATGTATACTTTATTACATTTTGGTGCTAATACATTTGTAGTTTTACATAAGTAACATTCTGAATATAAGACTTTTACTTGTAACAAAGTGCTTTTTGCTTTTGCACTGTTATTAATACTCTTACTTTTTATTTTATTTTATTCTATTTCTGATTCTCTATTAGCATCTTAACTAGTAAATCTAATTGTTTCATATGAAATAAGTAGGCTTATTCAAATTATTGTTTTAACTGGTTTACATGTGTCAGCAGCTGACTGGCATAAATCACTGACAAATAACATCTTCCACCCAAAACCAATAGTATTAGCCTCCAAAAACACATATTCTTTGCAACACACTATGGGAATGGGAAACTAATCTTCCGACTGCATTGGGAACCAAATTTGTCCTGCTACAGAAATAGATTTAATCAGCATCTCCAAGATACTTCTGTGATTTTTCATCTCTATAAACAGTGCAGTGCAACTGCTTTGAAGTTCAGGACAAAGTGTACCTTTAGGCTACTGGAAACACTTTCATCCGTCAAAGGAGAGTTTAACATGCTGGTAGATAATATCTCATAAGACCTCTAATACTGCTGCCATGTGGAGAGCAAACCATAACAAACACAGTACTGGCAAAGGGGCCTGTGCTGCACCAGTGCATACAACTTATTATGTAGTTAGCTAGGATTTGGTTATTTCACCCACAGCTGTCCTACCTCTGGTGTTGGTAGCCATGTCTGCAACCTTCTGAAAGGCATCCAAGAAGGCCACAGCTGCTAGAACGGTAGTTCTGGATGACAAGAAAATGATAATTACTTTAGATAAAATGGTATTATATTTAAGCTTTAGTTAATGAGCACCAAAGCACTAGTGAAGTATTGCAGTGGTAATGCAGCAATGACGTGATTGATTTGGTCAGTGAATTTGAAAGTATGAGCTACTAGTATGTTGCTACATCCAGCTGATATGTGTTATCACCTTTGCGGGAAGTTACTTCCTGTCAACAATTACAATTACAATTACAATTTTTGGAAATAAAAAAGAAGGCATGTGTCCCAGTATTTTGATAGAGATGAGTGTTACATTCTTTTAAAAACAAGACTATTTCTTATTTTATGCTTTACTACATTTTGTTATTTACCTGAGCTGGGAATGCAGCTTGGTGGCCTTGGCGCTGAAGTCTTCCCACACAGGATAGGAGCACTGGCAACACACAGACAACAAGACCGATCTATATCAGCAGATAATAACAACATAGCTTTCATGCCCCAACCTCTCCCCACACTGTCAGAAGAGAAATGCATATGAATCAAATGTTTCAATCAAGTAAAATTACACTGGTTTGGAATTTGTTTGGCTGAGGTTATGAGGTAGCTGCTCTGCATGTTACATAATTTTAATGCAAGCATGCAAGTAAGTAAGCAAAAGTTTATTTATATAGCACCTAGCATCTAAATCGAAGTTACAAAGTGCTTCACAGTAAAAAGAGAAAATAAAATAAAACATATAAGAATAAAACACCCTTAGAGAAAGTCTCATTAACAGAAAATCATAAATATAAAAGCATAAAAATAAATAAAACAAATGAGGAGCTCTAGAGAGAGCTGGTATCAAGGGCCAGACTGAATAAAAGGGCTTCCAGATAGGACGTGGCATGTGCTGGGAGGAGGGTGCACAAGCGCAAATTGCGCAAGTTTGGTGCCAGTTGCTAGGTGGCCAAAAAGCTTCCCAGGAGATGGTCAGCAGATATTAACTACTTTTTCGAGCAGCAGACCTGGATGCACGATGTATCAATCTACACCGATCAGCCATAACATTATGACCACCTGCCTAATACTGTTTACATCAGAGTCAATGTGGCAGTTGGTTGACACTCGTGTCACTCTGCAGCTCACTGTGCATCTTCTGTGAATCCATTTGCTTCCACAGTTCTACTGTCAGGAAGAGCACAGATGTGTCTACAATTCAGTGAAAAACTTATGTAAAAGGAGTAAAAACTGTGGTCGTGAGGACGAGTTAGAGAGAATTTTTTAGACTAATCCAACAGCCTCACCACTCTAGGTGTGATATCACCACTACAGCCCCTGACTTTTTATCGTCATAGAGACCAATGGACAGTATTTCTCATTTCTCGTATTTTTCAGCAATTTTAACAAAGATTTAAATAAACTTTAATCTTTTGAAAAGTACAAATGGAAGTTAAAAGTTTAATCTACAGTAGGTCAACCTCATCATCAGTGAGCCCTGGGCGTCCTTGACCCTGTCTCCAGTTCACCATTTGTCCTTCCTTAGACACTGTTGGTAGGTACTAACCACTACAGACCAACAACACCCACCAAGACCTGCAGTCTGGGAGATGCTCTGACCCAGTCATCTCACCATCACAGTTTGGCCCTTGTCAAAGTCACTCAGATCCTTACACTTGTCTGTTTTTCCTGCTTCCAACATCAACTTTGAGGACTGAATGTTCACTTTCTGCCTAATATACCCCACACACTGACAGGGGCCACTGTAACAGATGGTCAGTGTTATTCACTTTACCTGCCAGCGGTCATAATGTTATGGCTGATTGGTGTACATGTCAGCAAAAAACTGTGGCTGTAGTTGTATTGATGAGGAGACCAGCTGCAGCAAAGAAGGAGAGGGTGTGGGTCCTCCAAAATCATCTTCTCCTCCATTTTCTTTATGGTCTGTCAGGTTATCTGTAATTGGACGTGTCGAGGTGTTGTCACAGAGCACTGTGCCCATGTTGAAACGTTCTTGTGCCATGCCTACAAATAGAAATGAATGAGTTTGATAGCGGAGCATGGCGCCCACCACAACCTATCTGAAAAGCCCTTAAGTTGGTTTTCAGACGGGACTGAAAGACCCCACTAGAAAATGAACGAATATCAGGGGGAAGGCAATTCCACAGTTTGGGAGCTGCTACAATAAATGACCAATTGCCAGCAATGAAAGATTAGAAGATCTAAGAGATCTAAGAGTGTATAAAAGTGTAAAAGCTGAGATATAAGATGGCGCCAGTGCAGTACCTTAAAAACAAATAAAATCTTAAACATGATCCCAAAACAAATGGGAAGCCAAAATGGGGGTTACGTGATGTAATGCAGTCACAAGTTTTCAAGGTTGCATCAATTAGCTTCTTTGAAATTGTGTGGGCGCTGTCTCCTCTCTCCCGTAGTGTGTCCTCTCTCTCTCTCCCTGTACCTTTCTGCAGGTTGCCCTGGCTCTGGAGCTCTATGTTTCTGATGAGCAGTCCCCAGCCACATCGACCTGATCAGTGTTTGTTGTGTCTTGTTGCTTTTCTTCTTTTCTCTCTCCTCTATCCACTCACCCCAACCGGTCGAGGCAGAAGGCCGCCCACCAAGAGCCGGGGTCTGTTGGAGGTTTCTTCCGTTAAAGGGAGTTTTTCCTCCCCACTGTCGCCAAGTGCTTGTTTAAGGGGGATTTGTTGGGTTTTCCCTCTGTAATAATAGTGATAACAGTAAGGTCTAGACCTTAGTTTGTAAAGTGTCCTGAGATTACTTTTGTTGTGATTTTGCAGATGACCCCACCCTGGTAGGGATAATTACAGGAGGAGATGAGATGGCCTACAGGGACGAGGTGCAGCAGCTGACAGAGTTGTGTGTCAGAAATAACTTGACTCTCAACACAAAGAAAAACTAAGGAGGTGGTCAAGGATTTCAGGAGAAGGCAAAGCTGACCTTGCCCGTCTCCACATCAATGGTGACTGTGTAGAGAGGGTCTCCACTTTTAAATTCCTGGTGACTTACATCTCAGAGGACATCTTTTGGTCAGCTAACACTGCAACAGCAGTGAGGCAGGCCCAACAGTGACTCCATTTCCTGAGAGTACTTAGAAGGAACAGATGGAGGAGAAGCTGCTGGTGACCTTCTACCACTCCACCATTGAGAGCATGCTGACATACTCCATCACAGTGTGGTATGCTGGCTGCACAGCAGCTGACAAGGAAAAGCTGTTAGAGGGTGATAAAGTCAGCTGAAAGGACAGTAGGCTGCCCTCTGCCCTCCTCAGATGACATCGCCAGCTCTCAATGTCTCTCCAAGACCAGAAAGATCCTTTCTGAACAGCTCCACCCCAGACACCACCTGTTCAGCCTGCTGCCCTTTGGAAAGAGGTACAGGAGCATCAAAAGCAGAACAAAGACTGAAAAACTTTTGATACTTTGCTGATCATATGTTTGCACCTTTACTTAATTAAAAATTTTGATTGCACTGAATATGTAGCTGTGGCTCAGTGTTAATTGGTCTTTTCCCAGTTCCATATGTTCAAGTGCAGAAAGAAACACACCGGCACCACTGTCCCAGGCTCTCCGCCAGTAATCCCACATCTCCCCTTTTTTAAACCCTCTCACCACCTCTTCCTTCACCTCCAAAACCAGCAGCCAACACCTCCTCTTCTGTCCATGCTGCCAACCAACTCATCAACCCAACCACACATATTCAGAACACTTGACTGTCATTGGCATCAGGCCGCATCAAAGAGCAGCCAGGATTACTAACTATTCAAAGCTATCTCTAATGGATGCTGTTGCCCCATTCTCCCACTCCTCTTTTAGACTGGATGACTGCTACATCACACACCCTTAGCACATATTACATTATACTTGATCCAGGTTAACCTTGTTAAATGCATACAAATTGTGTACATGTGGCTGGATGATTGTATTAACATATATCAGTATCAGGACTAAAGATCCTAATAGGAATAGAAAGAATGGGGAAAGCTGCTAAAAAACATAAGGAAACACAGAGAAATGTGAAAACATAAAAATGAAGGAGGACAGTAGGAAGGAAATGCATGCGTGTTTTGGGGGTATGGCATTCTGTTGTGATGTCAGACTGGCACAGACTATAAGGCCTGTATACTCTTTGATCTGGTCTGTTTGATGTGGCTTAATTGGGTCTGAAATCACAGTTCTATTTCCCCTTTACAGAAATCTACCCACTGCCAACACACACACACACAGCTTTCCTCCTCTTGCAGGGTGTCTGAAGTGCCCTACAGAGCTTAAATAGTCTGAAGGAAGATAACACGAAGTGACGCCTCTACATAGACACACGAAGCTCATTAGCATATTCTGGGCATTTCAATCCAGTAAAAGAGCCTGGCGGCAAATGTCCAAGTAATGACTGACTGGCTATTAGAGCTGCTCAATCTCAGCAAAAGTCATAATCATAATTATTTGGTCAGTACTAAAAAGCCCATGGCATGTGTTTCCTTGTTCTTTGACTTATCTACAATGTTACAATGGTGAATTATCATGTTAGACATGACCTAGCTCAAAAAATGAGGTGGACATATGTTATAGTACTTCTGTGCAGAAGCAACTCGCAAGAGGAGAAATTCAAATTAATTAATGCTGTTGCAGTTCATTGTGCTGTCCACTTTTGACACAACACTGGCAGCAGGAGATGTGTTCACAAACTATCCTCTCGGTTTTAGGAAGAGGCTCTCTGGTTTTATCGTACCCAAGATTAAACATTAAATAGCTGGAAACGAGTATGCCATGGCCACTTTAACGCAGTTACTTTAAAAATATCATGCATTTACTGAACTGTAAAAAATAAACATCTGGTGGGCAGTGCCTTTTCTTGGACTTTACATACAGTTCAAATGAGAAACAAATGCACAAAGTGATAGCATTACCAGGAAATAGAGTGCAGCACAATAGCAATATTATCTCAGTTATCTTGTTTTCATCATCATGGAGCCAAAGTCACAGCTAAAAATAAAATCTGGTCAATCACCACGCCCTCGTGGCTAAGTGTGTTTCTGTTGTGGTCTTCCCTCCACACACTGTGTTAATAGTCTGATGTGAGATAATCAGTCAACATATGATAAACTACCTCAAACATTTGTTTTAACTTTGACCAAACCAAGTTAAAACTCAGCTGCTAAACTATGCCAGCAGAAATGCAGCAGTACTGTGAACATATATGACTACTTTTTGTGCATGTTTGCTGCTGTATACATATTGTTAGAGATCCCACAGAGAGAGGTTGTTTGTTGTAGTAAAATAGTTTACTGACACATCTATTGCACACTATAAAGTGTAAACAAAAATTCCAGGTTCAGTATTCTTATCATGTTCATGTCTTGAAATTATTATTTCTTATTTGATACTGTTGATTCTTTTCACTCCTCAGACACTTGCCAAGGACCTACATTATCATGGTAAT